TCAAACAACATGATTTCTTACTCAGTCAGAATTTCTTACTCAGACAGACATTTCTCAGTCAGCACTTTCTCAGTTAACAACTATCAAACGGGGCCTTCATCTATCATATTTATTTATATTTATTTATTGTATTTTTTTATGTTAATTTTATTACAAACATCTTTTCTTTGTTTTGTATCGAATCAATTTTGATGTTTTTTTTGGGTTTTTTTGTCGTTACTTAAACGTATGTTGCATCATATAAAGTAACGACTTTTATAAAATATGTGAATTTACATTTGTAATTAAATACTTAATGTTTAAAAATTTACTAAAAATAGAGAACATATCATAAGAAAAACACCACCATTGAACGGATTTCAAGGTTAATGCCAGTAAGCCTAAAAATGAAACACATGACGTAGTAAATCAAGGTAAAGTTTTGAAAAAAACAGACGAAAACAACAATAATTTTCTATTAATCTAACGAAATTAACACCATGAACGATTAAGAAGGAGTAAAAAGTAAGGGTTTTAAAAATATCAATTTGTAATTAAATACTTACCATTTATTGTGTAATTAAATACTTACAAATCAAAAAGTTATTAAAAAAATACAATATAAGTTTTTTAACTTAATAATATATTATTTATTACATAATTAAATTTTAAATTCTATTTAACATTAATATTCGTGGGTTCCACGATTTTTTACCTAGTAATTTATATAAATTAGAAGATTGAAATATATTAGAAATATATTTTTTAATGGCAAAAATTAAATAAGATTGGAGATAGAAATATATTTATCCTATTTTTCACTATGTTTTATGGAAAAAATGGAAATGGTCATGTGAAGGGGTAGATATGAAAGGCTTTATGAAAAAACAAAAAGACACGCTATGCCCTAAAGGCTTAAACTCTTTCTCTCTCGCCCTCCGACATTCGTTCTTCTCTACAGGGGATTGTCCAGCCACGCTACTAGACCTCCGGCGCCACCCTCCCAGACCTCCGTTGCCACCCTTCCAGACCTTTGGTCCGACAGCAAGGCATCAGGTTTGGCTTTCGTTTTCTCCGGTCTTTGAAAAAAAAGACACGCTATGCTGAAATCTTGCTGATTTCTTTTATTTCTGAAATATTGCTGATTTGTGATTCGTTCTTTTCCAATCGTCTGAAATCTTGCTGATTTGTTATATTACCAAAATGTTGCTGTGAAATCTTTTCTGAAATTCGACCACTCCTAAATTTTCTGAAATCGATTTTTTGAAATTTAGTTTCTGAAATCGATTTTCGCATAACCATGCGTTCCCAGCTCAACCCAAGTGTAGTTTCAAGAACATTACCGACTATTACAGGCTCCCCTTTTGACCAATCCAGGTTGAATGTAGCTTTACATAACTGCTGATCACCACCATTACTTTCTTTCACAAAATCCGAACAAGAGCAATGTTGTTCAAGCATCTCTCGCATATCTTCCGGTTTATGCATCTTTAAGAGCTTTTGTGTTTCATCCCCAATTCAAAAATTGAAGTTTTACAGCAATTACTGCATACATCCATCAGGTAGTAAGAAAGATAGGATATCATTATATGTAAACCCTCACATACTTGCACAAACATTACAATGACATACCAGTTTATTCATCCCAAACACCTTTTAAAATACTAAAAAGTATTTGGAACATGATTACCTCAACAAATGTACTCTCTTTAGTCTTTACCAAGAAGATAAAGGGATGAAGATATGAGATAAAGTTGTGGATATTTTAATCATGGGGAAATTGTTTCTACTTGCCAGGTATGCAACTACCTATTTCTTTCTTTCATAGCCTTAGCCGTATCATGAGTACCCCTACAATGTCATAATTCTAAATATTAATTTGTAGGTGTAGAAAACGTTATAATCACCAAGAATTATGGATTTATATGAATAAAACTTGGTGATAAGTTATGTTATAATAGATTTTGGAAAAAATTACTATTTATGAGAAAATGAGATTTAAGACAATATACTAGGAAATTATTAATTGAGATTTCGAACAAGCGGAAAATATTTAAGATGATAAATTCTATCACAGTGGCAATATAACCTAAAGGACCCAAAGAATGAATTACAACACTAAAGTTGCGTTTAGTTACGGAAAAACAATTTTCATTTTCTGTTTTTTGTTTTCCCTTTTCAGTTTTTGTTTTCCGTTTTCAGTTTTCATTGGAAAATTTAGAAAACGCGTTTAGTTAAAACTTATTCATTTTTCATTTTCAGTTTTAGAAAATTAGAAAACGTGTTTAGATGTGTACTTTTCTATCTGTTTTCATTTTTAGAAAACAGTAGCGGAGGTAGGGTGTGGGTGGGGGCGACGGCGGGGGGAAGTGGTGGTGTGTGTGTTTGTATGGGTGGGGGTGGGGGTGGGGATGGGTGTAGGTGTGTGTGTATGTGTGTGTGTGTGTGGGGGGGGGGGGGGGGTTGTTGGGGGTGGGCCTGGGAGTTGGTGGGTGTGGGTCGGTAGGGGTGTGGTGAGTTGGGGGTGTTAATGTGGGGGTAGGTAGAGGTGGGTGGTGTAGGAGTGAGTGTGTGTTTATATTTTAGAAAAATTTTGGAATTAGAAAAATGTGGAAAACAATGATTATCAGTTTTCCAAAAATTTCTAACTTCTTTGTAATTTTAGAAAACAGAAAATTTTCATTTTCCGTGAAAAATTTAGAAAAAAAGACGAACTAAATGCGTTTTCAAAATTTTCATTTTTCTTGGAAAATTTTCCGGAAAACGGTCCATTTTTCCGTAACTAAACGCACCCTAAGGCTTTCCGGTATGAGGGTGTTTCCGCGCGTGAAGAGTTGACGTGGAGGCGATGTCCACGCATAAACACCGCCCCAAGGTGCGTGCGTAAGGGTGATGCGGATTTAGGACACATTTCTGATACGTAAAAGTATTTTAGGACACATTTCTGATACGTAAAAGTATGTGTCCAAAAAATAATGTCATCTCTCAAAATGTGAAGGATTTAGGACACACATTTCTGTATGCCCTAAAATTAATATAATAAAAAAAACACGGAGGGCACCCATGATAAAAACGCGTGTCGTGTACATCATGTAGTTTTATATTTTTTTAACAAAACGCGCGTCCATGAATTCTTTGGTTCAAGTACTATCTCCATTTCTCCATTTCGATCTCTCTCTCAAAACATCAAACAAGTTGAAAAGATTCGAGACGGTGGCTTGAGGGAAAGAATAGGGCAACGACGGTGGCTCTAAAGAAAAAAGACGCCACACCGGTGACTTTAGGGATGGAAGATAACAACGATGAGTGGGTCAACCCTCATGAAATCGATCCACACTTGCTACCTTTCTCCTATCTTTCTCTCCCTCCCTTCTCTTTCACCATAATCATCTTCTTAGTCATTCACAAAATTTTCAACATGAAAATCGTTGTTTCACATTTCAGCCATTCATATAAATCCTCGATTATTCAATTCGATTTCGAACCCTACCTACATCATCATCCTTGAAAAACCCTAGCACATCATCCCTAAAACGCCCAATAGAAAAACCCAGATTTAAATCTCTAATTGGTTCAGATGATGATGATGGGAACTTGGATGAATTCGCACCTTCTTCACCTTCCGGTTTGACTTCATGGCATTGTTGATTCAAAGTTTTAGGTAATATTTCTTGATATTGTTATCCTTAGATCTCTTCAACTATCTTCAATTGATCGCTTTTTCTTCCATCACCACCACTCCTCTTCTTCTTTACTCGATTCCCAGGATTGATTCATGAAATCGGTTTCATAAAATCTATTTACAAAATGCAATGGGCATTTGGGCTCATAAAATTAAATTGGCCTTGTAATTGCAAAAAGGATTGTATGACAACCCGATTCGAAGTTGTTCGCAACTGAAACATACAAATTGATTCATATATGCAGTTATATTTGGCGCCTGTAAATGGAAGTTTTCGGGCGTCGGAGAAAGCGTAGGGATCCATGGAGGTTAATTGGCCGGAGCACGGTGTCCTTCATCTGTGTTTGCTTGGCGCAGTTAGCCCTTTACTTGATATCTTCCTTCTTCGCCTCTTTCAGTATTATTCTACCTTTTATATTCTCAGGTTCGCTATCTGTATCTATGAGTATCTATGTATGTGATAGTGGTGATTTTTATTATTACGATTTCGAATTAATTTTGAGGTTTTCTGTGCTCAGTGATGGCATTGATAGGGATGGCAACATTAGGGAGAAGATGCAAGAGGTTATTTGGACTGCGTGGTTCAGCTCCTGCCTTTGTGATTGTGAATCTATTGTTCATTTGGTGTGCTTATGTGATTGTAATTCGACAAGGTAACCTCTTGATTTCAGCCGTCTGTTATGCTTTACTCCCGATCGCATTTGTCTTTTTGACTGTGTTTATTTAACTTTAAAATTGATAACCAAGCTAACAAGCAAATCAAACAGAGGAGTAGGAATCATAACATCTTCTTTCATGTTTATCCAACCAACTACTCTATTTTACAGCCGTCTCTTCTTTATTGGACATTGTCTTCAATGTAGAGTTTATTATGCTCCAAATCGGTCTATATAGGTCTGTATATGTTACATCGTGCTTAATACCTGTTCTTATAGTCAAAATGTCATTTCACACATAATACATGGGTGTCTTCTTGATGGCAGAATCCTATCAGGTGATCCTGGTTTTGTTAATTGTAAACCTCCTAATGAAAACCCAGATTCTCTCTCCAACAATGAAACATATCAGGAGGTAACCAACTAACTATCACTAATTCACTACAAGTTATTCCTATTTAAATTGCTAAATGTTGATGATGATCCTGTTTACTCATTTAGGGATCAGAGCTCCTAATATCTGACATGGATCAGGGATGCCCCTCTAATGAGGTTGCTATTATACTTCCTTTACTTTTGAGGTGTTATATATAAACTGAAGATGTTGAAGTACTTATTATTTTTGTTATAACAGAGTTCATTATTACTTCAAAGGGTAAGATATTGTAAGCATTGTGATGCATATGTTAAGGGATTTGACCACCATTGTCCTGCTTTTGGGAATTGTATAGGTAACAACTTTAACACATTATTGCAGTTGAATGTTATGTTAAGAACCATCTTTAGATAATTGGGATGCTATTGTTTTAATACAGGCCAAAACAATCATCTACTTTTCATGATTCTCCTAGCAGGATTTATAACAGCCGAGGCTTGTTACATTATGGGTGCATCTCAGAGTAAGCTTACATCTGCAAAACAAGATTTCTAATTTTGCTTATCTTGAAAGGTCATCTTTCTCACATCTTCATCTTAAATTCCAGTTTTGTCTGAGAGTAAAGAGATGGTATGCCACTGTTTTCCCAACAACCATTTTGAATCTTGTTATATGGCAAACTTGTAATTATTTTGATATTGTATCCATAAGGTTGGTTGGAATGAAACATTAGTTTCTAGCACAATGATATTTTCCATTCTGCAAGTGCTATGGCAGGTGCATACTTGGTTTCCATTACATTCTATTCTTGGAGATAATACTTATATACCATACATATTGACCTTTTATTTTATGAAATTATTAGGGGGTATTTTTGACATGGCATATATATTGTGTGTGTTTCAATATCAGAACAGATGAGTTTGTAAGTTCTATAATCTTTATGACCATATATATATATATATATATATATATATATATATATATATCTATGTTACCATTGGCTGGATTAATATTATTTAAAAAATATTTGAGAAAATGATGTCATACTTGCAGATATACTGGAAAAGATATCCAGAGTTCCAGCATATTGTACAGCTTCAACCAGGTACATTTAATTATGTGCATCCATTATTTTAAACAAAAAAAATGGCACTTTGACTTTTGAGCCAAATGTATTATATATGAAAAGTATATGTAATATGTATGCTGCTGTTATGGGTAAAGATATGTAACTGCATTGAAATTCTCGTAAAAAGTGAAGTATATTTTCCATATTGGTAAAAAGAGTATGTGACCATTTACTGAATAATATTTGATCATTCAGGGGAGACGATAACAACAACAAAGTTTATAAATCCATATGACAAAGGAATTTTGCAGAATTTGAAGGAGTTCATTGATGCCAGAGGCTAAACGAATTGAAGTTTATTGTTGTTGTAAATTAGTTAAAGCATCAAGTTTTAAGGTAATGTTCATATTTTATCATCACCTTTAGTTATATTTGTTCTTGAATATAGATTAATAAGTTTCTTGAAAGTAAACAGTTCAGTAACACACGATTTTATTGTCTGACAAACAAGTTACACATTTACTTATAGTTGAAAATAGGATAAGGTCATTAGTAAATATTCAATTTTTTTGTAATTGTCAATTTGGTTGTCAACGTTATGTACTTATTTGAAGGTAAGTTATCTGTGGTAAGTGGGACCTACATTCCTATAGTTATTTTTTCCTTATGTATTTATTGTTAGATCATATGCTATTGTGTATATCCAAATCATAAGATATATTTTTTAATGTAAACAACGTTTTTAAGTGGTATGATGAAGATGAACCTAACACAACTAACATGACAACATCTATTTATACTAACTGATGAGGGGCAAAATGGTCACTTTGAACATAAAAGCAATTAGTGATGACTATATATCCACTTGAGAATGATAAAAGAAAAAAAAATCAAAAAAATGATCCTCTAATTACCTGTTTGAAGTCATACCGGATATGATACCAACTTTACTTAATTAGAAAGTGGATCTAATTATGTGCACATCTAAAACACATCTGGTTTCCATTTAATAGTATATATCTGTAGTCTTCGATCTTTACTTTGTTGACAGTGAATATAAAAGGCAAATAAGCTTCATGGAGAATTTTTATTGAGATTTTCTATAACAAAAAATCTAAATCTTTTATTTAATTTAAAATATGATTTTCTATATAAAAGAACGAGAATGTCATGTCCTTTATGGTGTCCCTCCATTTGCTTCCTCATCTTACTGTACCTAGTGGTATTTTCCCTAAAACAGGAAATTACATCATTTTGTCCTTAATTCCCATTTTTCCTTTGCTCCTCTACCAATGATGCAAGAATGGTTCCAGAGTGTTATCAGTTGACTTTTTCAACATGTGAGTTGTTGCATCTTTAGCCTTAATTACATTTATGACTTCTGACTTAATTTATATACCTGTATATGGTGTTTATAGAGCCTTAATTACATTTATGACTTCTGACTTAATTTATATACCTGTATATGGTGTTTATAGAGAATTATCTGTTGTGATGGAGCTGTTGATGTTATTGATTCTAACAAGGTTTGATGAGACCTAGCTCCATGTCTTTCCTAATTTAAATGTTGTAGAGAATTTAAGTGATGCATTGAACATGATTGACAGGATATTGTGATGTATGTGAACTCTCCTAGAGGATTGCTGGTATGGCCATCTTTGACACCATGAAACATATGTGAAACAAGGTGTCCCTTAATAGCAATGTAGTATCAGGTTATACAGGAAAACCTCTTAATATCAATGTATTACAATTTTTTGATAACTTCTTTGACATGACGTTATTGTATGAAATTGTTTTTTTTTTTTGGTATATATTTGTTTACATATTTTTGTATTATGCGTAAATGAGTATTGTAAAGGCACGTCGTAAATGCATATCGTAAATGGCTGTTGAAGTTTATGACATGCAAATACGTGTCATCTTCATTTATGACATGGACTTTAATGATACACAATGCACGTCATAAATGTGCATCGTAAAGTTACGACACACAAATGTGTATCGTCTTTCTTTATGACAGGGCCTTCCTTAACACGCAATGCGTGTCGTAAGTTTATGACATGCAAAAGCGTGTCGTCTTCCTTTATGACATGACCTTTCTTGCCACGCATTTGCGTGTCATCTGTGGCTTTTACAACATGCAATGCGTGTCATCTGTGGCTTTTACGACATGCAATGCGTGTCATTAAAGAGTATTTTTGTAGTAGTGATTTTTTTGACATTAGATTAAATAAAAAACATAATTATTAAACATAAATAAGTATTTTACATTACTTAAAAAACATAGAAATTTATAACATAAATTACAAAAAAAACATAAAAACAGAGAAATTTAAAACCTAAATTACTAAAAAAACATAAAACATAGAAAATAAAACATAAGTATTAAAAACCTTAGAACCTAATTGCCATATTTGTGACATTCGGACCTTGTAAGTTTCCTCTTTAACCCTCATAAAAAATCTTTGCATTATTGGTCCCTTGGCTAGTACGCGAGGCGTACTCTATGAGTATGCTTATCGTACTAGCTGGAGCTTAATCGCGGGCATCGCCCATGTACGCTGGGCGTACTCATGCTAGAGGCAAACTCTAATTTTTAGGGTTTGTACCCTATTTAAATCCCTTAAGTCCCTCATAATCTTCATCCTCTCAGCATCTATTGTCCTTTTAGTGTCAAATTCGAACCCTAACCCTTTTGCATGCATTTTTGAGCTTACCTTGGTGATTTTGGTGATCTTTGTTGGTTTTGAAGAACAAGGAAGGAACTTGTAGATCCAGAAGTTTGGCACCATTTCTAGCTCTTTGAATGTATAAAGTTTGAACCTTGTCAATTATAAGCATATATCTAGGTTTAGGGTAAAATATGACATCTTTTGGTCCCATGGTTTGACTTGTTAGTGTATGAGAAACTTCAGACCATTTCAGCTATCCTTTTGGACTCTGGAGGTGTTTTGAGTCATAAAAATCTTATCTTGATGGTTAAGCCACAACCATGCAAGAGTTAGGAACCATCCAAGTGTGTTTATAGACTTAATTCATGGTTTGAGTCCCATCCATGAATGCAAAAGCATAAAGTTTGCAACTTTATGGCTTAGGACGTTTCTAGGGGCTTGGATCTAAGTTTTGGACGTTAGGTCTTAATGGATTAAGTCATGAAGGTGGTTTTGGGTTGGAAGATCTGTACGCTGGGCATACTCCCATATACGCTGTGCGTACTGGGTACTGGGTCAACACCCCGACTCCAGGTCAACACCAGCGTACGTTGGGTGTACATGCCGAGTACGTCGCGTGTACGCAGTCAGTGGGTCAAAAGGATTTTGGGCTTTCGGTTTTGTTGGGCCTTGAACTTGTCTAGGTTGGGCCTTAGGCCCAACTGTTGTAAGAAGGCATTTTGGCCTAGGACCATGTTAGATGTCTTTGGGCCATATTGGGCCTTAGAAGCCTTTTGTTGGGCTTGGATACTTTTGGATTATTATGGATTTGGGCCTTGAAGGAAGGAGGCCCAATAAGGCAACGGTAAAGGAACCTTTTTGCCTTAAATCAAGGATTAGGGTTTTGGACCTTCGGGTTAGAATGTGACCTAATTGCTAATTAGGATTTTATGCTTGTGCGATAGGGATATGAATTCGCGAGTCATCCGTTGAGTACGATTTGACACCTACAGTCTGAGGTGAATCTTCCTTCGCAGTAGCCGTGGGTCGAAGGCACCAAGGTCGGCACACTAGTTTATGTATAACATGATTATTGTCTTTGTGATAATTGTAAGTTATGTCTGTATTTGCTTGATGAATCTGTGATTTCTATTATGGTATTATATGGTAGTAGTAGGGGGTGAAACGGACCCGATATCCGGTTGAAATAGATCGAAGGGGATTGCAAGCACCCAGATATGCTTGATAGTATCCGGTTGAGATAGACCGAAGGGGTAGTTAGGCACCCAGATATGCTTGGCAGTATCTGGTTGAAGTAGACCGAAGCGGTAGGCCGACACCCATATATGCCTGGCAGTATGTTTGTTTAGTATGTGGTATTTTGGGGAAATTCACTAAACTTTGTGCTTACAGTTTTCAGTTTCTGTTTCAGGTACTTCCAGTTCGAAAGGGAAGGGCCCAACCTGATCGCACCGCATCACTCTATGTTTTTCCGCACTAGTGACTTTAAGACTTGTACTATGATAACATTTTACTATGATGTACTTTTGACTATTTTGATGTGATTATCATATGATTAACTTGAATTTAAAATTGAAAATTTTATCTGAATTTTTGGGCTGTTACAATATTTTTCACGGACTTGTCGTTGAATTTTTAAAAATGTTGTTAGATTTTCCGAGTCGAGATTCGGTTGGGTCTTTGTGTTTATAATTTGAAGATCGTTAAGTACTATTTTTTTGGCGATTAGCTTCCTCCATTTTTTCATATTTTTTTTAAGAAAAAGTAGAGTTTTTTTTATATTCTTTTCGAAACTATGTCTTCGCTACTTGCTTTTCCGGTTGAAGACGCCTCCCGTTTCCCTTTGTTCTTTCTCAGTGGTAGACGAAGTTGGACTTCCGGTGGACCCCCCCTCGGTGCCGCCGAAGTCATCATTGAGGTTGAAGCCAAAACCCACATCCGACTCAGAAGTTCGTGACCTTTAGTTGGAGCCGGTGCTCGATTTCGAATGTGCCGTCTCCGGATTAAGGATCCATTTTGGGCCCTTAAAACAAACATCCCACGTTTTTTGGTGACCAAATGTTTCACTGCTGTTGGTAAGCTTGTATCGGTAGCATGCAGTTGATAAAATATTGAATTTGTGCATATTTTAAAGATTTTCAAATATGCCATTAAATTTGGTGCAAGCTGGCCACACCATTTTCCATTGACTGCATCGTAGGTCCGTTAAATTTGCCTTTTTAATAACGAGTGAAAGTGGTCCAAAAAACGATTCCAAAAACTTTGTCCCGTTTGCGCATTTCTGGTTTGCACGTCTTGCGATATGAAAATCCAATCTTTCGTTAAAGCTTCCTACTCTTCTTCGCTCTAACCCGTAGCTCTTTTTTTGCCTTTTTTGTTTTTGTTGCAATTTTCTAGACGGTGGTTGTGTTTCTTGGACCGTTTCGTCATCGTCATTGTCGAGGTTTATATGTTGGGATTGCGAAAATGATAATTTAGATGGTTGTGTTTGAAATTGTTGAGGTTGAGAAGGTTGTTGAAAAGCTTGGAATTGAGGTTGATTGAATTGTTGTGGTCTTTGTTGTAAGTAGTAGTTTCGGGGGTATGGAAGGTTGGTGAATAGAGATTGTTGTTGGATTGGGGATGTTAAAATTTGCATGTAACCAAGATGTGCATACGTCTCCGACTTGACACCATTTTCTTTGATGGCTGGAGAAGAAAAGCCTTAGAATCACAGTACAAGAGAAGAAATCCCTTAGACTTCGTCCGGGAGTGATCCCGGAATGCAGCTCCAACGGTCAAGTTAGTTCCTTTCCTTAAGAGTTATAATCTATTCAAGAGGAGGGTAATGGAAGATTATTCGTCCATTCTCTTGGAGGAGAAGGGACCTTTTTATACCCCTCTTTAGGGAAACAGATCCCTGACAATATCTTTTACCTTTTCAGACTCTGCAGGTCGTGGAGGTTTTTCATTGGCGGGACGTGTCCCGCACATGGTTGTTTACTATTGGTGCGACGTTGTCAGGAGGTGGGGTTCAGAGCACTACCCTTCTCTCTCGGGAGCCGGAAGTACTCTTCTGTCCTGTGGGAGACATGGGCCCCAATTCTGGGGGGGGGGGGTGGTTGTCTCTGATTTGTGGAGTTTCGGGGATGAGTGTGCGAGGGCTCTTGGGCAATGGCCCGGGTCTGGCGCTCGCCTAGGTGGCGCTCCTTGATCAGGTTGCTTTCTAGTTGACGCTCCTGTTATCCTTCGATGTATTCTTGGTGAGATATGTCAACAAGTCCCCTAGGCTAGTAAATGCTAACATGTGCTCGGGATAGCTGAATTGTTCTAGCGTGGATTTGGGCACATGTTTGGTGAGAACGGTTCGTGACGCATTTCCGAAGTAATATAGCCGTTCTGGCCAGACAGTTTCTACGATCGGAACGGTTCGGTTCCATCGCTTCACGACTTATTTAAGGGTCCCTATTTTTAGGAATAGTTATGTGCTTCATTTCTCCGTATACTAGCCATCTCGTTTTCCTTTTTCGCTTTTTCTTTCTCCTATGCCTTTCTTCTTTGATTCCCGATGACCTCCATTAGATCTGAAGCCACCCCTACGCCTGAGGAGTTCGAGTCTCTTCAGTTCCGGTATGAGTTTACGCCTGAGCATGGAGTTCAATTCCCGCTAGAGGGGTCTACGATTTATCAACCGCCGATGGGGAAGGTTGGTATTCCGGTGGCAATTTTTGAGGCCGGGTTTCGTCTTCATGTTTTGGACTTCTTCGACGAGGTTATGCGAGAATATGGTTTCTCTATTCACGACTTGACCTCCAACATTGTGAACAAGATAGTGGGGTTTGAGTTGGGGTGTCGGGCGTTGGGCGTCCTTCCCCAACTTCGAGCATTCCAATCTTTCTTCAATTCGTCTACCCATTCGGGTGTTCACACCTATTCTCAGCGCCGCAGTACACATGCCTTTATAGTTAATCAAAAAGCGCCTCGGAAGAACCGGCAGGATCGACGGTTGTGGGTTAACGCCGATTTGGTCGGACCTGGCTATCCTCATGTGCCAATGTCTTCAGATCGGGCGCCCCAATTGCTTGGGGAAAGTATGCCGGTGGCTCACGCTTTAAGAGGGATTTGTTTCAACGGCAGGGATTGGCCAGATTGCGGGTTGGCGGCAGCCGGAATGAGTTCTGCTTGGCGTTCGCGTGGGATGATGCCTCAGT